GGACAAAACTTCGAGGTTACTTACTTTAGATTTACCTGAAAATTTGCCCCTAGGTGTAGGTTTAACCACTAAACACCAAAATGACATTGCTTTGGCAAGAAAAAGCCTTTGCGATGCGTATGTGATCTGACCAGGCCAGACAAACTGCACACTCATCAATTCCTTGGGTCTTGGTCCTTGTCATGTATGTGGGCAAAGTGTGCGAAAAAAATCTGGAGGGTAGCGATACCACCAGGATACTCGTCTCCGTGCTCAGCCCCGCGCTGCCGTAGGGTTAGCCTTACGGCAGCGCGGCTAATTGTCTGCACCCTCAGTTCTGGTTGTTTCCTACCGCTGAGTGCATGTTTCGCTACGGTATCGTATCGACGCGATTACTGCACATTTGGGAAAGCGCGAGTGAAGTAAGGAGGCAGCACCTGTGGACCAAATCCTTCCAGCCCTGTTCCGGTGCAGTTTTGAGAGGAGAAACTGCATGCTACCGCAGCTGCTGCTCTATTCGCTACTTGATAAAGAGCTTCTTCGAAGGTGAGTGTACAGTTGGTTTTGAAACAACCCCACCCCCTCTCCCCCGGGAGGCGGGCAAGAGAGAGTCGTAAATTGGCGCTTCGCCGCGCGCGCCAATGAGCGCAACGTTCCCTTGAATTTGCATTACCCTCTCGATTGGAGCATCGGATTCATGTAGACAAAGACATGGTAGACACTTATGTCTAGTTTTTGGTCATACATTGTCTATTCTCGACCAATATCACCTAGAAATCGTTATCATTAGCTGGCGCGACGTCGCACGCGACGCCCACTGGCGCGGCGAATTACGATTCTCTTACCACATCCCCCCCCCCCCTAAGACAATTGAAGATGAGTTAAGCGCTCTAATAAGATACCGGATGGTGTAAGTTTCACACAAACAGTCACTTCGAGCTGGGGCCCCTATACAAAATAAAAATAAGAGAAATAACTGTGTGGAAGATGAGTAGCCATAAAATGTTGAGTTGGGAATACATACCTTATTACAAACGCCTTGTTCATGGTTCGAAACAGTAGAGCCGCTTTCTGATTTGAGACAATTTTGCTTCCGTTGGATCAGAAGCAGTTTTTGACCTGAATCAGTGGAAAACAATCATTATACCATTAGCCAAAGTGAAAGAAAGCTTACCTATGATCAGGACTTGAAGCCCCCGTGGATCCAGTGGCGACAAGCTCAATGCTATTCTGGTCTACCAAAGGCTCGCTTCGCTTGGAACGCTCATGGTTCTGTAATCATTGGAGCTATGTAATGATCATGAAAATGCTGGGCTCATTAGTTTAGTTATTTTCGTCAAATAGGCTCTATCACGTGATCCACTTCTCAGCTCAAATGAGCTATTATAACAAACCTCTGCTTTAGACCGCGGTGGTGTGCATAGGTCTATGACCGTGACAGGTCCTTCATGAACATTTCCATTAATATTCACTTGGTTTTCCATGCCAGATGGAGGAAATATGGCTGGATGTCTAAAAATAGCCGGAACAATCAGTAAGAAACAAGAATCAATTTTTATCTGAAAAACAGCACTATTATGAAGATGAGATTCACCCATTAGCCAAATTAAAAGAAGGATCGTTGACCGCGGGATGATGCATACGCATAAACTGCTCGGCGATCTCAAACTCCCCTGCTCCTCCAAGAGTCTGAAAATTTTCTTTAGTATTCAATTACAGTCTCTTCGCTACTGACGCTAGGAGCGTGTCAGGGCAGAACTTCGAATGAAAACCTGCCGCTATGCTACTTGATAGGAAGAGGTCACTGAAAGTCAAACACGATTCTTACCTGGCGTACAAGAGGACTCGGTGCAAGATGATTCGCTACAAGATGATTCGGTATGAATTGCAATGGCTGCTGTGGAAGGCTAAATTTGCACTGATGGTATGAGAGGAAGTCCGATCTCTAGTTCGCTGCGGCTGGTTGGGCGTGTCAGGCAGTATGAGTGTGCACACCGTCAAAGCCGTTCTCTGCCTTCTTGTTGAAGCGCGCATGCGACAAAAAGTGGTAGAAGTAATACGAACGATATGATACAGTCATATCATTTGCTCGCTTTAACAACTGGTGAAAAACGGGTTTGGCACCGCGCCAAACTCATCCCGCCTGACACGCCCAACCGTCCACAACGAACTAGACTACGTTCTTATGAAACTCACATGTTGTTAAAACGACCAGCCGCCATCAATTGGAAATCTGTAAGAATATGTCTCACTCTTTCATAAAATTTGGCTTCTTCCAATATTACTGCATTGATAGCGAGTTACAAGAAAACTTCTGACGTGCGTTCACAATGGAAAACACCAAAACGATCCTCTTAGCACGTTGACGACGATGGCAGACAATGGTGGCTGACAGCCAGTCTGTCTCATGGGACGATGGCAGACAATGGTGTCTGCCAGTATATTTTCTAAGAATAAAGATGTACGAACAGCCAAGTTTGCTGGAAACTTATCCCTGGGGGTAGCTTGTCCCTCTGAAATGAATACCACAGCTGCTTGGCACGAACTACCTGGCGCCCGCGCCAAAACACCATAAATCACCAAATTCGCTGAAAACTTGTCTCCTGGGGCAGCTTGACCCCGTGAACACGAATATCACAATCGTTTGCCACAAAACCGCCTGGCGCCCGTGCCACAGGCGCCGGCGCCAAAATGTCCTAGATCATCGAATTCGCTGAAAACATGTCTCCTAGGCTAGTTCGACCCCCTGAACAAGAATATCATATCCACTTGACGCCTTGATGACGGTTTCCGTCAATGGTGAACGACAGCTAATTTGTCTTGGGGGACGGCTTCACCCAGTGCTGTCACCGTCAACCCAATGAGTTATTATGTAAATTAAAATCTGCGCGATTGTTTTATTTTCTTTTCATGAAATCAGTTCAAGAACAAACATTTGCGGGCCAAGGGGATGCGATATTGGTCTTTAGGAGGTCAAACTACCCCGGAAAACAAATTTTCAGTCAAATCTGCCTCCAGAGGAAGAATTTGAAAAAAATTGCCTGATTTTGGAATACTGAAGCAATAAAAGCTAAATTGTGTCAAAGATTCGAGATTCCTATACTCGTCTCTTGCATTTCTTGATACATTTTGATCGTAGTCATTCATTTATTTGGAAATTACTAAGTTTCAATGTAGAAAAATGTGCCGTCCCACGCGCAAGTCATGGGGAAAAATGGCTCGTCGTCAACGTGTGAAGAAGCATTCGCACTAAGCGTTCATGAGTAATATACTAAACAGGTGTTCATACCTTGCGTCCGCGTTTTGAGCCACTAGGAAAGTATAGGTATCCGATCTATCGTTTTGAAAGTACGCCGGCATTTCGAGCGTTTTCGTGGGTAGTTGTTTGAAACGCTTCCGTAGGCTCAAAACGCTAGAACGACACCTGTACTTTCTAATCGCTCAAATGCTGACACAAAGTATGAACGCACTCCAACTGCGCTCTATTGCAAACCAGTCGGATCGGCCGGCTTCGCCGGCCGATCCTCCTTCCGGGTGTGAAGTGGGTCCCGGTGAGAAGTTTTCCATGAGAGGGAGGGCCAGTCGGATCGGCTTCGCCGATGGTCGAAAAAAATTGTTTTGAGAATTACCGCACTTTACCGTTTCACTTCTTGTATATACCCCCTCCCCCTCTCCCTCTAGAACACAGTCATCGAAATTTTCTATGCTACACTCCCCTTAGTGAGGAGCAGATTAACTATTGCCGACGGTACCAACCATTTGGTATACTCCCTACGGTTATCCCTCACTAACTTCATCTGCCAAACCATTGCTCAGTTTCACTTACTCCCCATTTCGTGGAGTTTTTCGGATGCGTTTTGAGGTTTTTGTCCTCGGCACCGTTCACTTCGGCGAACGCCCCGCCCATCAGGGGTGTGCTTCATCGATTTCGTCCGCCAACTGATTGCCTATCGTTTGCCACTTCTCCCACTCTCCGAGCTCTTTTGGAACCGAACTACGAATTTTTGAAAATGTAGCTCACTAACTGTGCGCACGCCCCGCCCACAGTGGGCGGGGCTTAGCTTAGTTCATGTGTGTTCCGTACATCTTGGCCCATGCCCTACCCAACCCACCCTTGACCCGCCCCCTCCAACTGGCTCTTCAGGTGATTCCGAATTTCCGGACAGACAGACAGACACAGACAGACAGACGTTGCCGTTTATATATAGTAGGATCGCGCGTTTGGAGCCGCTTTGCGGGAGTTTCTGTGGTAAGGCCCCAATGTGTTAAGCATGCTGGAACACTCGAACGATCTAGAACGAACATATGACTGAGCAGTTCCGATAACCCTTTGAAGCAGGGGTGCCATTAAATGAGAAAAGTTTTATTTTCCGTTAACTGAACGACTTTCTTATATTGGACGGCACTCAAACCTTACAAAAGGATCGTGACCAGGAAATGAAGACTTCGAAGATTTAGTGGAAGGGAAAAAAAACTGATTTTACTCGCGTGTGTGGAACATGGTTCACCCATCTCAGTGTCTTTAAAGAACTAAGAAATGGCACCGCATACTCGGCTAATGCCGCAGGCTTTGGCTTTTCGAATACCCCTACACAACTGTTACAGAAACAACTACTACAGAAATTTCTTGTGTGCTGTTACTGTTACAATCCTGTTCAGTATGTAAAGCAGAAAAAATAGAAACATACTGATGAGATTCAAGTCGTTCGGCGAAGGGCACATGTGAAAAGGGAAAGACGGATTCATAGCGAAAGACTCGCCAAAGAATATTTTCGTCTCCAAAATCTGAAAACTAGGCAGTAAATTGCCAGCATGAACTTAATTTTCTAAAAGAACCTTTCAAGTGCAAATAAAATGTTGGGAAAATATAGCTGATCGCTGCTAATTTTACGTACCTTTTCGCATGGTATTAACGACATATCCATTTTGTTTCTCAGAAAAAAATATTCCTAGTATACGGAATACAGCACATCCTCTATGAAACATTGCCACACTTCAACGCGAGCCAGGCGTGGTACAACGGCGCTGCTGTCGCGATTGGAGCGCGCCACCGACGTATTCAGGCCGACATTTGAAGGTTCGCTTTTCCACGGACAAATATCCTTTTACGAAATTTTACATATCTTCAGTTTGGTCCACGCGCCACAGCACTTGGCGAACCGATCAGGAAGAACAACAAGCTTTATCCAGAACAGTGTTTGTTCCCGCGCATTTTGAACATGCCTCAATCTTCGCGCGCAATTGGCGCCAATTTCCTCGCTCGCCTGCACCCCCATGTCGAGAGCGTGCGGTAGCACTTTTTTTCTCTCAACAACACAATTTGGAACATATTTCAAGTGATTTATACTTCCCTAACTTTCTAAAATTGAATCCGGAAAACTCACCTGAATTACTGGAAGGAGTCTTTCAGAAACAGGGAAAAAATTTTAAGAATGTGTTTAATCGCTGTTTGATATCCAAGGGAAATAGTTCAGAAGAGTTTTCTTCATCCCATCATGTTTACGTGCCCGATACGAACAGTGGTTTTAAAAATGCATCGAACTAAGCTCACTATCTTCTTGAAGGTCAAAAGCGTGACAGTCTTGTAACGTACAGTCCTCATCATTGCAGACCGGTGACAGCGCGTTCAGACTTCACGATCGCGCGATCAGATCGCTTGAGTAGGATTCAGGCACTGGGATGGGGAAATTCACAGCGGGGGCGGTGCATGCTTTGTTCAGTTTTATTGTCCCTGGTTTCTCTTTTAATGAACACAATAACATTGAAAAAACGATGACGCCCCCCCCCCGGATGTGATTTGCACCGCATATCCCAGTCGGAGCTGAACGCGCTCTGAGGCGGGTGAGCTGCCCCACCGGTCTGCAATGATGAGGACTGTACAATACATGAGCTGGTTGTGATTGGCGAACAGTGCACGCGCACACGACCAAGCTAGTGAGCGCAGACTTGTGCGTACAAACTGTAGGCGTACGCTCGTCGGCTTACAATCGTCGCGCTACAGTCGTCGCGTACAGTTGTTAGCGGTACAATCGTGCGCTAACGATCGTCGGCTACCAGGTGTATCACAACTTCCTTTTATATTTTTTTTTTCTTTCATTCAATCCTCTTTTGCCATGTTTATCTGATGCTGGGCTCTTTTCTACTTTACCGCATTTTTTTTACCACATTTTTAGTATGAGCCACTTATGATATTTCAGAAGTAGTCATTCATAGATATATTCTGATATTCAAATAATGTTCACAATTAAACGACGTCAGGCTGGTCACGCCTGTGTGTTGGCTTGCAACCTGTCCGTGAATGCCAAAAACAATTTCGTCATCAGGGTCAACGTGAGGCACAACTGCAAAACCTCAAGCAAAGCCATCAAATATCAGAAGCACAAACGTCTTGAACCACTAGAATAATAAATAATAATAAAAAGGAGAGAAAAAATATCAGTTAAAGTAATAAAGCAATTATCACAGTGTCTGTATCAAAAACTGATAGTTAAAATTTTGTTTTGGTACGAATGCGGTAAAGTAGAAGAGTTCAGGCATCAGATTAACTATGGGGAAAATTTGAATAGGAAAATATTAAAAGTATAGGGGTGATAACGCTGTAGCTCGAGCGGCTGTAGTCGGCGAGATCGTAGCGCTACAGTTGTAGCGCTACAAGTCTGACGCTGCCTCAAGGTTGTAGTCCTGTTTCATGCATAGCTGAATGTGCGCTTGAGGACAAATGAGACTTGTGTTCCATGTATCATCAAATAAAGCACAAAACGCAATGTTCGCGCGCGACCGGCGCCAATTTCCCCTCTCGCCTGCACCTCCACGTCGAGAGAGTGCCGCATCCTCACTTCATTGTTTAGATCTTTCAAGTGACCCCTGAATTTATCAGAATTAAAGTGCGAAAAAAGCTCACCCGATGGAAGGAATGTTTCAGGTAGATAAGATGGATAATCTCTGTATTCAGCAATTGTTCAAAACCTGTAAAGAACCATCTGAAAAAATTTCCTTTAGACCACCAGACTAATGGGCCACGAACGAGCTATGGAACTAGTGCGTTCCAGGATTCATAGACCTGACCTGGTTACTTATTTACGCCCAACATTCAGTATAGTGTGAGTTTTACAATTTGTTTAATAGTGAAAATGTACTCGATGAATCTCGGAAAACTCATCGAGTAAGATTTCACAACTGTTTGCTATTCTGAGCAAACCCTCGCTTTACAAAAGAAAGACGAATTGTCTACAGTGTTTTCTTTGTTACAAGATTTTCAGTACAATCGGCACACTGGTCTGGAGTTATATTTGTCTTGAAACCTGTGAACTAAGACTAAATAAAGAGAAAACCATCAAAAAATTAAAAAAACAAAGGGTAGACTGATGCAGGACACCACCTCTCATGGCCATGGCAGTACAACGGAATGATGTGGAACGGCGACGCGCTGAACATGTCGACGTGGTAGGACAAGTTTAGTGGGTACACTACGTCCCAAATTCAATCTAGGATAAAACCAAGTAATTTTTACGTTAACATATTGTTATTTGGTATCTATTCGTAGTTGTTATAAAAATGTTCTGGCACTATTTACCCTTTATTGCCCCAACCATGCAGAATTGAGCCATTTTCTGATTTTTTTTTCTCCGTGGACAGATTTGGCTCAAATGTTGTCTTCCTGGGTATTTTGACCTCCAGAATACGAATATGACATCCGCTTAGCCCGAAACTTTCTGCCCACGATACAGGCGCCGGTGATTATTTTGGCGCCAGCGCCTGTAGCGCGGGCGCAGGAGGTTTCGTGCCTAGCGGATGTGATATTCGTGTTCAGGAGGTCAGACTACCCCAGAAACAAATTTTCAGCCAATTCTGCCAACGCAGAAAAAAGTCGGTAAAAATGGCCTGTTTTCGGATGACTGGGGCAGAAACGGGTAATTAGCGCCAAGGTTCT